TAATTTTTCGTTAAATCATTTTGACTTTTCTTTTTCTTCTTGTTTTATTTTTGGTTTTTTTTTTTTTTTATTTTTTTTTTTTTGGAAAAGGGGGGGGGGGATGGTTTATTTTTTCAACATTTTTTACAAAACCTGGACCATTCTGATTTTTAAAATAGAAAAAATTTACGTCGCTTGTATTGCATAGTTTGTTTGAATTCAATTATAATAATATATTTTTTTTTTAGAAAAAAGTATTAATTGGTTGAGTAACTAAATTATTTATACTTAACTCTTACTATTGCATTACAATGTTTATTAAGTTATGTGAATTCAAGTGTACAGAATATCCTGCACAGTACCTCAAACTAATTTTATAATCAAAGGGAATTAATCCTTATCAGGTATCTATGACAATAATTCATGAAGTTAGTTTTCGTGCGAATCTTTGTCGTATTTGTGCAAGTAAATATGTATTTAATTTATTGACAACAATGGATCATGAATAACGCAACCATTACGTTCGTCAGTGTAAATTTTTTAACAGAAATTGAAAGTTTAACTGACTGAATGATGTGAACAGTGAATAAATCTAACGTTACGGCGCTTTTTTTGGTTCTTTTAATGCTGGACCTTGCCACCTTTGACGCACTGGCGCCTCGTCAATTAGTAACACATTTACATAAACTGGACATTGTGGTAAAGATAATATGCTGTAGATTGCGAGGAACGATGGATCCTTGAGAAATATTTGAACATGGGGTATCTTTTCGGGGGAAAACTCAAAATTTTGTTGATTTCCTTCAAAATCAGACACCTTATTGACGAAATTGGATTAGGATACCTACAAAATTTTACTGTTCTCAATTTCAGGATGATGCATGCAAAATTTTGATGTCTGTTTACGTTTCTATAAATAGCGCGAGGTCTCGACAGAATATTAAATTGTTGCATATGATAGCGAAAAATAAACGTTGTTAATAAGCTTTCAGATTTTCATATTGTTAAGAAATATAGAGTTAAAAGGTAAAGTCTACAATTTTAGGCATAGTTTGAAGAGCTAAAATTCAAGTTTCCTGTGATAATTTATTTTTAACTGACATCGAATGAAAAAGTTTTTTTTTGTAATTTTTACCAACGTCGATAACACCAATTATGCATTACGGCAGATATGAGTTTGTTGACGTGACGTTCCCACAGAGTCCCTACTTGTGGCACCAGTCGTGTTTCTCATTGTTAGAACAAAATCGGTAATCAGTCTCATTCGGTGATGTCACAATCGAGGAAAAGGGAAGAGGATGGTTCTTACGACAACTGACACATGGTCATCTTTGATGGCACTCATGCTCCCGGCGGAAAGACTTTCGAATCAAATGACTACACCTTGATCACCTGGAACTCTTGGTACAAAGTATCCTTGTAAGTATCAACACTCTCTTATGGAAATCATGATCGCAAGTTAAAGGAAAGTTATGCTCCGTCTGCAGGCGATGCTGGAATGTTGCTACATAGAAAGAGAATTTTCACAAATGGGAAGCTCAATTATTCTCTTTTGAGAACCACCCCTCATTGTTAATCCATAGATTTAAGTCAATATATTATCTAAACTTAAATTATCTGTGGTATCCTTTATTTCTAATTCGATGGCATAGATGCCTTAGACATAGTTACGTTACTTTGAATTATTGGAGTATTTAGTAACAGGACGTCATATATATCGCAGAACGGGAAGATACAGGATAATGCTAGCTTCTTTTAATTCTTGCTGAGAAATTTATACATGATGTCTGCCTCATACCAATACAAGCACAAGTCGGCAATAAAAGGAGCAAAGTTGGTTCACATAGGAATGACGAATGTTGATTGAAAAACAAGTAACAAAAATGTGTCAATAAAAATTCTATGAAGTCAGTTTCAGAATATTTCATGTATAAAGTAGCGTGGTTTTCTTCAAAGTATGATTTGCTCCTTCCTACAACAAGATATTTCTATCTATATTGACCATTCTTTATATAGAATTAGGTGAGACTTATTCTTTCAATCTGTCCTTAATTTTAGACTGAGGAATACTCATGTAAAGGATATAGAAGTCTAATGTGTTATACCATGCCAGAGGAAAGAAACTACGATTGAATGTACTCTTGACAGATCTTTGAAATGTTTTAGTATCACGATCTGGTGCACACCACCTCTGGAGTGGGCAATTTCACAGTAAGTCTGAATTCTGGTTTTGATTGCTGATACAACTGATGTTAATAATTTGGAAAAAGGTTTATGTGGAGCACTTGGCAGACCCATCAATATAACGTTGTTTGTAAGGAAACCTCTGTAGTTTGTTTGGTATCCAGTAGGGAAGGTGGATCAAGTTCTGTATATTTGGTTGAAATTTCAAACTAAAGGGGCATAGAAGAGACCTATGATAATTAAGGATAACTTTTAGAAATGTACAATTGTATCTTGAACTCTTTTGAAAAATGACAAATAAACTGTTTTGTACTGTTCGTGCTTGTTCACACTATACGGACTTCATATACAGGAGTGTGCTCCTTACACAGAAACTGCTCCAACAAAGTTATGAGGAGGACAGATTAAAAATGACACTCCGTAAATTTTACGGACACCATCACGAATTGGTTAGTCCATACGATCTGTCTTTGTCCAAACCAACTAAGGACATTTTTACCACGTGTTAGATTGTGGTTTGTCATTACGTCGTCTGATCTTTTAATTACCGAACGTGACTTATTCCCGATTGTGACTGTTTTGCTGAGTGTGAAACCGCATTGCTATAAGACGTGTCACGGTACCTTTCTATCCCAAATTCATGTATTTAATTTTGATGTTATATTTGTTATTCTCGTCGGATTTTGTCGTCAAATGTCTTAACGTCTTTTCTGTTATATTCGTGTGTTATGGTAAAGATAATTAATCACCCCCTTCATTTATTAGATTTTAGTTTGGTTCAACGAAATGTATACGATATATTTGGTTTACAGTTTGATTCAGTAGAAAAACCGACATAGCTAGATAATACAATTAATTATCTAATTACTACCACAATTTGATATTAATAAGTATTGTAATTTTCATTGTTATTAATAAATGTAATGTCAGTATTACAAATCTAATCTTGAATCAATCCTAATCCTATCTTATTTTTGGGAAATATTTTTACAAATTCAAATGTGACGTCACTTTGTGTGTTTTTTTAGAATTTCAAATGTGACGTCACTTTGTGCGTTGATGCTTTGGCTAACTCGGCTGTGTATCTTTATATGTTGGATTAAGTTGTATTATGTAATGTATCCGTTTTCATTCTGTAGTTAGTCCCCACTTCGGTTTTATCATGTATATCTCTTATATAGTCATTTTATAAAATTTACTGTTTGCAAAATTATATATTATTCTAAATAATAAGGATGTTCTTGTCCCAGGCAGAAAACCCTGGCCGTGTTAGGCGCAACATTTTGGAAGTTTTGGTCCTCGGTGCTCTTCGGCTTTGTACTTGTTTTGGCTTTCAAGCTTTTTTCATCTGAGCGTCACTGGATGGTCTTGTGTGGACGAGACGCACGTCTGACGTATTGAATTTTAAGCCTAGTACCTTTTGTTAGCTATTATTCGTGTGTTTCTTTGTCCTATATGTTCTCCCATTTATTTGTATTGTGGTCCTGTCATGTGATGTTGTCGTTTTGGTGTTGTGTTTGACGTTGCCATTAAAGCGGGAGGTTTGGCATGCTACAAAACCAGGTTCAACCCACCATTTTCTTTCTTAAAATGTCCTGTACCAAGTCAGGAAAATGGCCATTGTTATATTATAGTTCGTTTCTGTGTGTTTTAATGTTGTGTTTTTGTTGTGTCGTTGTTCTCCTCTTATATTTGATGCGTTTCTCTCAGTTTTGGTTTGTAACCCGGATTTGTTTTTATCTCTATCGATTTATGAGTTTCGAACAGCGGTATACTACTGTTGCCTTTATTTGTAGTCTGTGATTTTTGTGTTTCCTGCGACGAAAGCCTCAGAATGCGAATCAAAGGGATTGCCGTCCGGCGTCGGCGGCGGCGACGGCATACACTATTAGTATAAAGCTTTGTATTTCAGAAGGTAAAAGACATTTATGAATCATACCTTGTATGCAGATATCTTTTGTTACGAAGTTCTTGTCCGTCATATGTCCTTTGTCCTTGACATCAATTTTATGGTTCAGTGACTGCTTGAAATATTTGTTACATTTTTTTGTCAAGTGAAATACTCACTTATTATGAGTAATAGGATAACTATACTTGGTATATGGGTTCCTTGAAACCTCTTCATATCCATCAGGTAGGGTTCACTTGACCTCGACCTCAGTTCATGGATCAGTGATTAAAGTTAAAGTTACTTGGTCAAGTCCGTATCATTAGTACTACCAGCAAAGGTCAACTATAGTTGGTGTATTGAATGGTATTAAGGTGTACATGTCTGATTGACCGTAATTTCATGGATCATTGGACATTGTCAAGTTGCTGTGATCTGGTCTATTTCTTAAATACCTTAGGCAATAGGGCCCCTATATTTGGTGTATGAAATGAATGTAACGTGTACATGTCAGACTTACAGGTTTCATCTGACCTTCGCCTTATTTTCATGGTTCATTGGACAATGTTTGTTTTTTTTGTGGTTTTGGACAATTTTTCAGATACTATAAGCAATAGGTCAATTATATTTGGTGTATGGAATGATTGTAAAGTGTACATGTCTGTCTGGCCAATAGAGTCCTGTTGAAACAGTTGGTACAATCCCCATGTATCTATGAGATAAAACATGGAGATAAATCGGGGAACCAGTAGATAAAAAAAACAAAATATCTTTGAATATCAAACTACCAAAAGAGACGTGGTTTGTGAATCAGTTGTATCTTCAAAGTGCAACCCTCAAGGCGGCATTGAAATTCCATTATAGTTAATATTAAAAAAGTTTTGATTGAATTTGCATTCCTAAAAGACTTTGCTGGACACAAGCAATATCAATGGAAAAAATCTTGTTAACACAAAATTTTCTTTATTAACACATTTAAAAACTAACAACTTTTATGCAAAATTACACATTCATGAATAGAAATTCCATATAAAGCTAACACTAACACATATGGTAAGATGATTAGAAGCATACACTCATATAAAATTATACATAAATAAACAACTAAACAATTTATTTTGAAGATGCACAATATAAAACGGCTGAAAGCTTATGTCAGTTGATTAAAAATTTGTCTTTGTAAAACATACGAAGTTCATTGAATCTTGAATTTTTCCGTCCAACCTAAACCTTTTTTTCATATGATAAAAAGTTTCAATCAAAAATTGTTCAATTATTTGTAATATAGTTCGACATAAAAATAATTCTTAATAAGATATACCAGCACTTTCCGACATAAGATGAAACATACAAATACCCACGTTTTTATTCTAGGTCTTTTCCTTAAGTGTACACATTTGTCTGACCACAATTTAAATTTAATAAAAATTTGCAGTTTTAAAAGTTTTTTATTCGAGCTTTCCAAATGAAAGTTAATCAATAAATGCTCTTCGGCTGTACAACTTTTATTGAGTGTTATTTTCATTGAAGGTTAACATATAATTAGGTATTATGTACATTTTCAAAAACTCAACAATGGTTACAAATGCGGTTATGGAAGCATCAATATAAATATACCAGCATTAAAACTACAATTAGCAGAACAAAATACTACAGTAAAATCCCGATAAGTCGAATTTAAAGGGACCCTTTATCATTGTTCGACTTATCCGATATTCCGTACATATATACCACGCAAGCTGCATCGATTCTCTATTACAATATTGAACTTTGTCATGTCAACTTAGTTTGTTAAGGTTGAAAGGTGTTGCAAATTATATTCCATCTGCATAAATGATATTGAAAAATTAATTCATTTCCTGAAATATGACGGTGAAAAAAGTGCATGTTATTGCACAGTTCAATGTTATTTAGAACCAAACAGGTCGTGTGAGATGAATATGTTAAAATTTCTTCTGAGCAGCTACGCTATGTACATTTGAAGACACAAGGTTTTATCCTTTTCTTTAATTCGTTCATTAATATGAAAATAATCCTGTCATTCTTAATAGACGTTTTACAAAAGTCAAAAGGATTCTGGTGCTGATATTAACTACCAATATCACTATATCCTATAAAAGGGACCATCTAAAATAAGCACAGATAATCTATCATTAAAGTTACCTGTATGGGTGTGTTTGATATTGATGAGAGGATTTTTAAACAATTAGATAATAACAATGTATTCCTCTATACATGGACCAGGATCCAGTAAAACAACACGATCATTGTTCATATATATATATATTAATATCATTATAATAAAATTGCTTTTTTCATATTATTGATCGATTAAGTACATAATCGTTGTCCCTCCTTTTCTTACTATTTTTTTCAATTTAAAAGGAAAATCCGCACACTGATCAAAATTAATGAATAAAAAATGATTGAAATCAAATCACATCCGAATCAATCTTTGTTCAGAATGTTTGTTTATTTGAAATTTGCGCTTTTTATGTCGGGCCTTTTAAAGTTTTTTGTGCAGTATGATTTTGCTTCTTTTTGAAGGCCATACAGTGACCTACATAGTTACTCATATTAACGTTATTTGATATTTGGTTGATAATTGTCTTTTTTGGCAACCATACCCGATCTCCTTATTTTATATCATGTTTCCAGAATAGAGAAATCTGTAACCTTAAATTCTAATAAAGAACACGATTTCTTCCACCAATAAAACTGAAAACCACTATATAACTGAAATATTGTTGGAAGAGGCGCTCAGATTTCATACGTAAAAGAAGTTTATTTTATTATCTTTGGGTTAGGAGGATATGTTTAAAATGGAATATGCATTTCAACCTGTTAAAAGGCCTGCTTAATATTTGCTACAAAAGAAAACTATGCTTCGCATAGTTACCTTTCAATGCAATTGTATATTTTAAAATCTTGTATCGGTATTGGTATTTCACACTAGCACAGTATTTAAATCCCTTTCCGAACACTTCTTATAGAAGACCTTAGTTCAGGTCTTTTAATTCGTTCAGTTTTATTTCAGTTACAACTTTTTCAACAAACGTAATTTTCACCTTTATACTCATTAAAGTTGAAATTAATCATCTGAAATCTATACACGCACAATGCTTGACATGTCGATAGTGGTAAGTAAGTCTTTTCGGTGTAAAATAAATTAACTTTTATATAGATATGTAAAAAGTAAAATAACAAAAATACCGAACTCCAAGGAAAATTCAAAACGGAAAGTCCCTTATCAAATGACAAAATCAAAAGCTCAAACACATCAAACGAATGGAAAACAACTTTCACATTCCTGACTTGGAACAGGCATTTCCTGATGCAGAAAATGGTGGATTAAAGGGTACTTATTGTACACCTCTACCATTCAGCTTATTTTTGTATCTATGTGAAGCAGAATTTATATATAGTTATAAAAAGAAAGAAAGAAAAGAAATCCCTAGTTCTTTAAATAGCAGTTTAAGATATATTAATCATGATTTGTCACTCAATAACCTACATAACAGTCCTAGATACACGATTATTTTTATTAGTTGTTATTGGGTTTGAACTAGCTGTCAGTAACTGCGAGTACTCTTAGATCCGTATATAGTGTCCTTTTTGTTGTTAGGGATGAGGAATGGATAAATGCCCTGCTACGTCTGGTCTGTGGTTATGTTTGATGATTTTCTGCTTTGTATACCCTTTGATGAGTTCAGCCTTTTTCAACTGATTTTTATAGTTTGTTCCTATGTTTGTGCTGTTACACCACTGTCCAAGGTTAAACTTGGTTGGGGGGGGGGGGGGGGGGGGTCACCGCTCACAAACTTCTTTATTCTTTATGTACCTGTTCCAAGTCAGGAGCCTTTAGTTCAGAGGTTGTCGTTGGTCTATGTCAGTTATATTTGTTTTTCGTAAATTGTTTTGTTATTTAAATTAGGCCTTTAGTTTTCTCAATTGAATTGTTTCATATTTTGTATGTCTGTGCCTTTTATAGCCGACTATACGGTATGGCTTTTTCTCATTGTTGAAAGCCGTACGGTTGCCAATAATTGCTTACATCAACTTTATTTGAACTTTGGTGGATAGTTGTCTCATTGGAAATCATAACTCATCTCCTAATTTTTATACAACAGCTTGTTATTGCATCTCAAAAATCCTTGTGAAGTTAAGGATACTACTTAGACTAGAAGGTTTGTATCTTTTTTTTTGGTATTTACACAGAAACACAACTTCAAAATTAGATCTATGATAACGTTATGATTTCAGCTTACCTATTTTTAAACTCCGATTCCCCAGCAGTAACATACATACTGCTTCATCGTACGGTGTTTACATATCTGAATGTAAATACGATAGGAGCATGCATATTCATATGCAGGATTCATTAACAGTTCATGCTTTTCACAACACAATCTTCTTCAACAGTGATTTAAGGATAGAAGTAGCAGGAGACGCTTAAAGCACTCGGTCACGTTTTGTTACGGTTCATTCGATTCCCTCAGTTTTTATTTTTTTACCTTGAATGATATTTTCTTAATGGATTTACGAGATTAGAGAATCGCTAATTTACAGTTGTCTTTAAATAACAAATATTAACTCAATAAATGTATGCAGTTCTAAAACCTAAAAACAAATAAATAATTGCAAATGATATCCTTATCAGAGACTGTCTACTGTCAAATGGTAGCTTAAAAATAGCATCCAAGACAAGCAGTTTTCCCATTGTAACATTTACTATAAAATCTCCATCCAGCTTCAATGTGATGTGGTATGTCTGTCACAACATTTGATCCAAACGAGAGTAGTTCACATCTAAAATGTATGAAATGACTGTTAGAGAATACAAGTATATTTGAATATGATAATAACGTATTTTGTACTTTGACATGCAATTGTTTCAACTTAGTCCTTTTGTCTTTAATTGATTATTATCTCCTTGGCAATCATACTACATCTTTTCTTTTTTTAAAGCTTGTTTCTTGTGATTAGAATACTCATAGAAGCCTCTTAACATTTCGATCAATAGCATTTCAATCTTAGCATGATATAAGAGGCTTATTGGGACAATGGTATTTCATTATGTGTAAAGTTGATATTATTGTATCTGGATTATTTACATATGACTAAGCCAGAAGGATCTATTATTTTATTAAGAAATACCGTCCTGAATTACATAGATGAAATGAGAATCTGGAAGGCATTTCTTTATAATCATGTACTTTCACTTTCGTTTTAAGTACCTACGTTGTGCTATATTATGACGTTCAGGACTTATTGGGATTTCAAAAGAATAAGCATGTCTGATGTCTGGTAACAAAAAAATGTCATACATTGGAAACACAAAATGTGATAATTTTTAGGCCATCTCTTGTGATATGGAGATTTTCATGTATTTTCATATTTTGACATTTCTTATAATATCTGCTTTCATTTAGAATGTCGACAAATTTGGCATTGAAGTATAAGATAAGAACATATTTCTTGTTGCGTTTCTAAGATAACAAGCTGATTAAGAAAGTCTGTCCTAGTATTGTATTTAATGCACTCAATAAATAACTATCTCATTTGCATTATGAATTATGATTTATGATTTATTCAAAAAGACTTCAGCTATTCTAATGGACAATAAGTGATTATAAAAGCAGCTTGTGCTGACCTCTTCTAATAAAATTTATTTTTTCAATTTTTGTATTTACTTTTGATATTGCAAACGGACTGTGTCTTTCTACAATTATCATAACATGGCTTAATAAAATATGTAGATTAGTTGCAGTTGATTAAATAAGACTGTAAGAAGGTACGAATTGTATACCAACAGATAAAATATTTTAGTTAAATAAAATATGGCTACGGGTATTATTTCTAAGATATTATTCAGTGAAGTTTGTGATTGTTTTGTTTACATCTGTTATAGCAAATTTTATTTAATTAAACGAATTTATCGGCTGAATATGCAAAATGTAGATTTAACTTATTCAGATAAAATAGGGATTTGCTGATAATAACATTAACGGTACCAAATGTACTGTTTATGCAGTAAAATATGTATGCAGTCAAATATGCATGCACCATACAAGGATCCCCTTTAAATGTCATCCCTTTTTTTCACAGTTTTGTCCTTAATAAACTTTGCAATTGATTGTTCTGGTTGAATTCGAAAATAACGTGACAGAACTTGTGGCATTTAAGAGCCGAAAAAAAGATTATGGACACTTTCATTAATTAAAATCTGTATGTTCGTAGAATGATCGTTTCTGATGTTGTATAACTGCGTCTGATTGCTGTATCTTAAGGCGTGTTACTAATCTTCCTGCATTCATGGAGAAAAAGGTAGTTCTCTATTTAAAATCATACGTGTGAGTAAAACAGAATGGTTAAGGAGGAAAAAAGAAGACAAAATTTGGTATTAATATTTTCTTGACACAAGCCGAATTCCAGATTTAAGTATTAACATACTTAACAAAAGATGTCTTTTAAAACATAATAGGATGTAAGTGTAACGAAGGAAAAGTTTGTTAATACTTTGTCAACACAAACCTGTTCCTGGCACTGTTGAAATTAAAACCCATACAAGTCTTCAACAGTCCACAGCTCGTAGCACACCTGATTCTTGAACATTTAACGTCATCGACTACAACGACGTCAGACTTGGTATTACTCATATTACAGCTGTCAAAATATCCAGCAAATTTGTCTGAAACTGTATCAAATGTGTTTGATATATTTATGAGAAAGCTTTTTCCTATAGCATATATACATATGAAGAGATTTTATTATCGAAGGTTAAGGATGATTTACGATACGGCTGTTTTCTTGCCCATGATAAATTCTATTATAATAAACAGAAATATTAAGTACTACCTGTAAAATTTCATATTTCATACAAAATACCCATTGCACGCGATCAAGCGCCTGTGCATAAATGTGCATAAATGTTACTGGTATGTCTTTTCAAAGTTCTGGTTTTGGCATTTATCCTAGCCGTTTGATACAGTAGTAGTTTTGACACTTACTTTTGTTGGCTTCATGCCTTAAAGGTTCTATCCATCAAATGGTAATAAGTCATATTGGGTATGCTTATTGAGGTTTCTTTTCATGCATGTTTTATAATATATTTTTGAAGTTATCTTATTTTTTTCTATCAGTATTAAATCAAATACATTATATAGAAATGTCGATCTGCCATAGGTATGAATAAACTTATAACTTGACACAACTGTTTAACTGAAAATTTTCGTTCTCGTGGTATTGCAAAAGTCAGAAGTATGTCGAATTGTTATTGTCATTTAAAAAGACGTACTAACTCAAATAATTGACATTTTGAGCTAATAAATATGTTCGAAATACTCAAACTGATTTACTAAAAGGTATAGATGAAATCACAAAATGTATAAATTGGTGATAAATATGTTCGAAATACTCAAACTGATTACCTAAAAGGTATAGATGAAATCACAAAATGTATAAATTGCTGATAAATATGGTCGAAATACTCAAACTGATTAACTAAAAGGTATGGATGAAATAAAACAAATGTATAAAAGGCTAATAGATATGTTCCAAATGCTGAAACTGATTCACTAAAAGGTATATATGAAATAAAAAAAATGTATAAATTGCTAATAAATAAACGTAAAATGGCCAAACATTCGAAACCCTTAATTAGAGATATAAGTTGAAAATTAACATATTATTGCATGCGATCATAACAGGTAACATTTGTTGGACAAAACTTTAAGTCATCCCGACGTACGATCCTTTTATATAAACAATTGAATCTTCCTTGAAACTTTAAATCAAAACTTGTTAGACAAAAGAAAACGCATTTTATGAATTCCGTGTTCTAACATTATAGTCAATTATTTCAGAAAGAGAGAAATTAAAACAAAATATTCATTGAAACAAACAAAAGAAAATATGACATAAAACACCTAAAATACATTTCACCGTTATGACTAAGAGGACATACACATAAATCAAGACCAATGATATAACACATCCTTTGACGAAACTGACACCATTAATGTCTGCAATGAGTAATAATGTCGGTTAAGGACCTGGTTTTGCAAATGCATTCCAATATTCCCTACTTACAATAACATTTACAGTTAATTTTGATGAGTTTGAGCAGACAATTATTTGCTACTGGTGTAGCTGTGAAATTCCATCAAATCTTTAATTGTGTTACAATATTTATTTGTTGATGCGAATATGTCAAAAAATTGCAGAACCAACTTATAAAAAAATCTCAAACACGATGTGTAACTTCCTATGATAGGACACAATACTAAGAAAACCATCTGTTGTTTAAAGTATTAAATTAGAAAAAAAAACACTTTGAAGCAATGTATATTTCAACGAAATATTTTTGAAGAAATTGCTAAAGCAGAACAAAACTAAACTTCGATTTGTTACTTGTTTTGATGTAACCAAATATCTAATTAATTGATTCAAGTTTTAATAAAAAAAATGTGCTGAAACCATATAATTGCAATCAATTTGCTACATCCATGAGTCACAACGTCACGGATACCGCTCAGGATGAACGAAACTCAAACTTGATATCCAACTTACTTTGACCTAAAATCATATCAAATAGCTTATCAATTGATGATGAAATATAGAAACAGTTAATAATGAAGAAATAAAAAAGAATAAGGAGGAAATAACAAAGTATGCCGCTATCATTTTTTACACTTTACAAAAAAAAAAAAAAATACCAAGAGTTTCTCCAATACCCTTTGAAATCATGTCTTTGATTTTTGACGAAAACATTAAAGTTGTTATGCCCCCCGTCCGTCTGTCCGTACGTCCCACAATTAGTTGCCGTTCTCTTTAGTTTCCCTCAAGCAAATGTTATGAAACTTATACACAATGTTTATTACAACAACACACAGATCAAGTTATTGTCCCTTTATAACGTTATATGCAAGTAGGGTTATCATATGTGTCCCATGGACGCATTCTTCATGTATTTGATTTATGAAATATGCCTTGCACATGGAACCGGATTTTCTTTTTCCACGTAAAATACTTGAAAATAGAGTAAAACACAAAAAGATATATAGTCCATTCCAAAAGTCCATGATTTGCTAAAACCTAAAAATAATTCGAACCAAAAAAAAAAGTCAGTAGCAGGTGGCCTGTTGCTAGACAACATTTCTGTCTCTATCCAATATGCCATCATTCTCGAGTTTGAGTTTAAATTTCCCGAACCTTCATTTCAGACTGCATCTATTTCAGGACCTACCTATTGTATTTATAGTGAATTTGTTCCCGTCCTGAACATGCATGAAATATTTGCGACTGAACATTAATTAACCGACAAGCAATCAATAATAATTTATATACAATTTTTTTTGGAATTATTGGCATTCGTGAGAGAATAGTAGCTCCAAAACTGTACCCAAAATGCAGGTATCAAAATGATAAAAAATATTATTTTATTGTATTTACAGCTGTAATTAACTAATTTTTCCTTTTTTTAAAGAGAATTATAGATTATCGTTGATCATCTCAACGAGATTGATTTTCTCGCTTGAGCCGGTACGGCGAAAGCGAGAAAAGCAATCGAGTTGTGATGACCAATGATAATCTGTTTATCGCTATTTTACCTATGACGACGTTGTCAATTTCATGTCAATTTCATTAGCAATGGCACTTGCTCCTTAGTTTCTAGCGATAATTTTCATATCACTCGACTCCGCTGAGAAAGGAAATTATCAGTCAGTAAGATTAAAGGAAATTTTCGTAAAATAGCGATAAAAACAAATATTTGAATGAGATATTAAATAAATGCATATCAATCTTGCAAGGTGTAAACGAAAATGCAATACACTGCTGTTGCCACTTATCAGGCAGACATAGCTTAAAGGTATGCAAGGTAAATTGATGCAATTTCAAACTTAGATGAAAAAAATGAAAAGCAAATGTAGACAAAACCTTTATAACAATAGAAAAGATAAACATACGTAAACGTTTCTTTAATCAATATAAATACATAATAAAGCAGAGATTCAGTGATTTTAAGAATCTTCGATTAAATGCAAACGAAATACAATGTTTAGGATTACCTTCAATTTTTATTTTCCATTTTCCTAATCTACCTTTATCTGTTAATACTCCAATACTTCTCACTACAAAATGATCTGTATTTTTTAAATTTCCCAAAACATAGTCACCAACGACAATCCCAGTTCCTAATTTAATATCACCATCTGCCCAACTAATCCAGAATGGAAGATACACAGTGCAGTTTAGTATATTCGGAGTAGAAAAGTCTGTTTCATGACCTTCTTCTGCACGGTAGATAATGTACGATATGTCAAAAGCATAGCTAATGATAATCTCATACAATGGTTTTGACGAGTTTCTGACAACAGAATTTGATAGAAGGACATGTGCATAGTTGCATGCCTTTATTTCAATCATTAACGACGTTATTCCACTAAGGTCTAGGTTATACCTATTTACGTCATTAGTGTAGTTCATGATATCTGGTGTATTCCATGATTCAACAGTATCGCTAACCTGGGTCGATACTTTGGTTGTCATCTGTAAACCTTCAATATATAAATAAACATATATCATATTTATCGTAAATACATCGTATTACATAATATTGAATTACAGGCTCCTGACCTGTAACAGATACATAATAATGTAACGGGGTTAAACATTTTTTATTGGCGCTGAACTCTCCCCTTAACCTAGGGTAATTGTGTAGCAGCACAACATTAAAACAAAATGATAAACTCAGTTTAGAATATCTTTACTCAACCGAGCAGCACAAAGTACAAGAGGAAATTAACAAAAAGACTCAAACTACTGATCTAATAGTACCCATAGTTACTGAAAGCTTTATCAAAGATGATAAAACAATTAAACCTTTATTTTTGTAAGATTGAAACTGATATTAGGAATCAATCCAATTAAAACGGACTTTATCAGTTTGTTCTTTTGTTGAGCTGTTACACAAACGCTCACACACATCTTTAACCCCGTCATATTGTTCGTGTGCTTGTCCTTAGACAATAGCCTGTAATCAAGCGTTTTAACGTTGGTTGCTACCTGTCATAATTTGATTTTCTTTGTTTATTGTTTAGTACAAATACGGCTGATGATTTTACGTTTTGTTTTGTTTTACATTTTGTCATCTAGGGCTTCTTTTTTAAGCGTGCTAAACAGTATGATATTTGTTCATTGATAATGCTGAACTGCGACCTGTAGTTGTTCCAGTTATCCTCGATGGATAGTTTCTCATACAAGCATGCTATCATACCATATCTTCTCGTTTCTTTGTATATTGAACTAAGTAAGATAAGAAAGTCATCAACAAACATAACATTTACCATGTTTACTGCACAAAGGAAGACCGAAAATCTCCAAAGGAAGATACGACTTCGGTCACGAAAAAATGCTCATAAACGCCAAGTTAATTAAAAGATATGTTACATGCAATTTAAGATTATTTCTTAAATATCAACTATGCTCATTTGTTTCATCCTTTATAAATCATTGTAATAGTATTTATAGTAGGTAGTAAAGGTATAAAAAGAAGTTTTTGAAGAATTGTTTCGAAATAAAAATAATTTTGTGACATCGCATTCAAATGGAATTCGAGAAGCAAATCAAAAATTTAAATCAAATCTCAACTTACCAAAAGCTTTTAAAGTCAGTAAACATAAGTTTAGAATTTTAAACCAGTGAAGTGTCTTGCAAACCATATTCAGCATGTGTATATGATCCAGTATACGTTTGTACATTTTATGAAAAAATTATATCAAGGATATGCCTTTATATACTAGATGCTTATTTATTATTCAACATTTTCGAACGATCTTGTAATTTTGTTTTAAAAAGGTTTAAAAGCTTACTTTATATTAAGGATGTCCTTTTATATACTCAATGCTTATTTATTATTCAACATTTTCGAACGATGTTCAAATTTTAAAAAAAAGACTCAAAAGCTTACTCATTTGAATTAAATGCATGGTTACCGTTGTAACTGTAAAGACTAGAAACAGTTTATTTGCCGAGGGTTTTTTTTTTAGGCCTCTTGAGATTTAACGTTTTAATGGTCACATATCAATATATTCATATTCATAATGCACATAAACAGCATTCCCGTGTGTATTTGGCAATGAAAATGAAAAATATAACAGAGAAGTTATTTCATTGTAATGAACATTTGAAATGTGCGGAAATAAATACCAGCACTTTTGAAACTTAAGTAAACGATAGTTTCGTATTTATCTTTTAAATGATTTTTATAATAACCATGAAAGGGACTCATTAGGGTCGCATACATTTTAAACCAGCAACTTTATGACAGGACATTTTATCTATGCAGATTGTCAAAGTTATATCGACAAAATGCTGTCAATGTATTTGAAGAGTATACCAAAAGGGTTTATGATTTTCAAATTCTAGCTTGGAACTTTGGAAATAAATGTTTCATTAATTTTATTTAGAAAATAGAACACTTTAAACAATCTCATATATTTTTTTCAACCAACATGCCTGTTTGGTTTCAGTTGGATCTATATCTTTGTGTCTTAAAATTGTTTGCAAATGACACAAAATCCAAGCGACATCTATGTTTGAAATATTGATGGTCAATACCTAGAAAACATCAGCCAGATTATCCTAAACACATACAATAAACTTATCATGAAAACTAAGATTAAAGTTTTATATGCCAGACGTGGTTTTTTATCTACACACGACTCATCAGTGATGTATGAATAAAAAACAGATGAAAAGGCCTCATAATGTACGAAGTTGATTAGATTTGATGACTCAAAGTTCCGAAAGCCTTTGCCAAATACAAATAATCTAATCTATTCTGGGGGTAGAAAATTCACAAATTTGTTAAGTTAATTTAGAATTATGGCCATATCAATGATGATTCATGTCAACACGTAAGTCCTCAGGGAGAAGACCTCCACCAGCAGTGACATCGACCCAATTTTGTTTTTGTTCAACTGAAGGTGTTCACGACAGATAATACTTACTGTTTTTGTAGCAATTTTTATTGTTAATTTTTCATTTTTAAAACAATTCAGCTATTCGAATACACAATGTGTTGCTTAATGTGTAGTTTTCTATTAAAACATTTGTAATTCTTGTCGTTACCATATTCCCTGTTCCATTGTCCTCGATAGTTACATTACCGAATGTCTCTTATCATCGAATTTTGATTTGAAATTAATAATATGGAAGGCCTCTCTTCTGGAGTAGGGACTGCTTTGTCTCTTGGAATCCCCGAATTTACCCCGAATTTGTTGGGGTTTGTGTTACTCAATTTTCAGCTGTTGGGTACATATGCGCAATTCATTTCAGGTAGGCGGTATTGAAAGCCTTTTCCTCAAATGGTCTGCTCATGACGACTTTGACAGAAAATCAATAATAAGCTGAGTGCATTTTATAGCTGACTAATTAAAACAGGTGTTGATTGTATTATTTTACGAAATGAAGTGGTTAAATGGTGTCACATGTCACCTTAAGGATTTATTTACAACTTTGCAACGCATGTGTTTGAAGCATAGTTTTACGTTTCCTCGTTTTCTTTTTAACGATGGTCCGGAAAAGAAAACTGTTGTTATGACGAAACTGTTCAAAAGCAAGAAAAATCTCCGACTTTATAAACTTTATCCTCTAACTTTGATAGATTCTGAAATAATTGATTTGAAGTGGGTACCAGTACTTTACAACCGTTTTGGCGACGCACGTGTTTCAAGCATAGTTTTACGTCTAAACTTTTTCTTTTTACGATGGTCCGGAAAAGAAAACATATGCTACGAAGAAATATATTCAATTTTAAGAAAAATCTCGGACTTTAGTCTTTATCCTTCAACTAGACGGGAAAATATATATCCGATAAACTTATTGAAGATGAATCTCGTGTTCCCAGAAGTAAAACATTATGATTTCATGATCTATATATCAATTTTACAGTATCTTTTGAAAAGAACATGTTTGGTGTTTATTCATTACAATGAAGAATTAAAAAAAAAATTTCTAGAATAATCACAATGGGGCAAACTAAACTGATTTTTTTTGTTAGAAAGAAGGAAAGTTTTAAAGAAAAAAATGTTTATGGTTGGCGAAAAAAAATTGAAAGTGGCGAAAAATATATTGTTTTGGCGGAAGAGGTGGCGAAAAAGAAAATTGACCCAGGGGAAACCTTGTGCAGCAGGATCTTCTCAATTTTTCGGGACACCTGCAATCACCCCGGTTTTTTTAGTTGGGTATCTGTTGTTCAGTCTTAAGTTTTGTATGTTGTTTGGTAGACTGTTGTTTGTCTTTTGGTCGTTTATTTTGCCATGGCATTTCGTCTCTCTTTAAAATCAAAGGCTTGAAAAAAACTAAATATCTGAAGTCTCATAAAAAAAACATTATTTTTCTAAACAATGGTAGCATGCATATGATTAGTTATGAAAGATAAAGTAATCTATGTGATTGCCAAGTAAGCAAGTTCATATCTACCACAATGAATATTTTAATGTTTTAAGCGTAGCAAAAGTTACAAAAAATACTTGTTTCCATCTACAAAGTCAATCGATGTTATTCAAAAAAATATCTCTCATCAAATTATAGTGTCCCTTCTTCAAACGAGACCGAATCATATATCTTAAGTATAGATTATCAGGCTTTCTTCTAATCGAGCTATTTATAGAAATTTCAACCGACATCAATAGTTTTATGCATTATACAGGGATAAAAAAGAGAAATATTTATTAAGGAACTAATTTCAATGCCACAAATTATGTATACATTTTGATAAAAATGAACAAATCTAAATGTACTCACCGTTCGTCATAGAACTCGTCAATCTGTTACAATATCAATGAAAACATCAAAATAGTTTGAGTTCCGTGAGATATATGAGATGCAAGCATTTTTCAGAGTGTTAATTATTTAACACATGATAATCTGATGAAGTTATAAAAATGCTAGACTTTTCGATCGACAACACACTTTAACGTGACTAATAGAGGGGTAAACGTAAACAACGAATTTAAATATTGAACTAAAATCAATTGCAGAAACTTAATTTTGATATTCGTCATGAATTGGAAAATATTCATGAATATATACGGAGTTAACTTTCTTGGGCCATTGTCCAGGAATATGCTTTTGTAATAACATTTCAAATGCAACAAAACCTGGAGTATCGCCAACAAAAAGGTGAACTTATTGTGTTAAAATGTGTTTATTATACTGCGGGATCTGCATATCAATGAAAAATGACATCTTTTGAAGGCAAGAGATGTTGTTTCAACCGGAGAGGGTTAATTTATTTTTTAGAAAACCGTATGCTCGTGTTCCAGGTCTTTGGAACGAATCAAATAACCTTTTACTTTGAGCTGTAATCGGATTGCATATTTGTATGCATGTCACTAGATATTTTTTCTTCTGTAAGTTTACGCCAGCCACCCCACTCCACCGACAGGTCTTCCCCTTAACATAAAGTTTGAAACATACGTTTTACCCTTAACCTTCTCTGTCAAAGACAAAAAGGAAACTGACGGATCTGGTCATGTGAGCCGTCCATCTCTTCAAGTTAAAACAAATTCAAAGCACTAAAATCCCCTTACTATGATCCTTTGATCTTTCGATGGTAAGACAAGGCAACATTACTAGGCTCTTCCATATTTTTTGATTGGTTCGAATTTATTTTGAAAAGAATTAATCTTTTGCAACATCAGACAATGTTCATGTAATGAACCAATTTTCAAAATATATGAACAGGACATCCCTTGTCAAAGACATATTATCTATATGAGCAAAAGTTAAACGAGCATGTATTTTTTCCTTAAAATACAAAAATTGTTTCGTTTTGTTTCGTTTCGTAATGTTTCGTTTTGCTTTGCAATGTTTCGTTTCTGTTTCGTTTGTCAATTTACATTGATCTTTTCTTTAGAAAATGTTTATCAAAAACAATTATCTACTGAAAATAAAATATTTAGATATGGGTCAATAGGAACATTCGTTGTAGATGATCGTAGCTCGACCATTATTTCCATGGTTCATAAAAGTTGTCAACAGGGTTTTGGTAGAAAGTTTTTAATTTATTCACTCCTTGCTTTGTTTGGGTGTAATGAAGAGTCTGATATATAGTACACACATTTATTTATTGTTGATGACTACATGCTGACCTCAAGATGGTGTTGCTTCTAACTAGGAGAATGCACAATACAATGTGTAAGAGATCAACTATCTTTTTCTAACATTCAATCTTCCTTCTCTTATTGATGATTGGAATAACTAATCGTATACATAAATATAAAAAAATATGGTTGAAAGAACTGTTAAAAAAGGTAAACAGATCAAGCAATGAATAAGAATTAATCTTGATTTGTAAATATATTGATTCTAACACAATAGCGCAATGATCATGATATTTGTCCACAAAACATAATTACGCTTTCAAAATTGTAAATGAGCACATTAAAAACAAGATTCTTAATTTTCAAGAATAAAAACAATTCAATTAATGTTGGTTATATGACAGAATTAGTTGCTTTCATACTTAAGCGAAAGCTCTTTGAATATTGAATCGAATAGATTAACAGGATTGTAAAGTGAAACAATACAATCAATGATTAAAATATTCACTAGTCAGACCCAATATAATTACACTAAAAACAAAAGAAATAACGTTAACTGTACGAATTTATCTGCATTATGTGCGCATTTCGACAATAAATGCCTCTATAGTAAAGCTAGACGCCACAATATTTTAAAATCCAA